ATATATAGAGAGAGAGAGAGAGAGAGAGAGAGAGAGCTGTCCTGACAGGAATTTATTGTTTTAAGTATTTAAGAAATTTTATGAGCATCAGTTTGACTCATTACTATATTACTTCCTTTTACAAAAAACCTGTAACATGGGTGCTTCTGCAGGATTCCTTTTGGAGAAAAAGAAACACATTTTGGGAGTGCTGGCATTTTAGGCCTGGGTTTATTTAGAGTACATCCAGTTCCTGCTTCTCCCTTCTCTTCCTCTTTCTTTCTTTTACCTCCTCCTTTCTCTTCCTCTTCACTCAGAACTACCTACCTTGTTTCACTTTCCTTTAAAATGGTTTGCTTTTCACAGTGATCTCCAGAAGCTGAGAAAGAATGGGAGACAAAGAGAATTTTCCTTTTTGCGGGAGAGGGCTGGACAGGGCCAGTCTCCAGCTGGCCCCTCATGGACGTGACTATGAAGCCCTGGCCTCCCCAGGACAATCAACACTAAAGCTGAGTTCCTGGACCCTATGAAAATGTTAAAAGGCCCATGTATTAATTTCTATAACAGACACAATCTATAGATATGAAATCCACCCGTAACAAAAGTCACATGAGCCTACAAAGAGAGCTGCCACCACTTAGGATGCAGTAACATCTTTCATAATATCCTACAAAAGTGCCTTTTTCAGGGTAAAGCTTTTAGACAGTCTCTTGATATTCTCTGTGATGTACTACTATTATATTCTGCCACTGATTTTAATTAATGCTGACCAAGAGATGATAATTATTTCAACAGGGATATGTCGAAAAACCTTAAAATTACTCATGGTCCTTATGTGACCAGTGTTTTACTATTATGAATTTGTAGAATGATTGTCATCAACCAAATCATTAACAGACCAACCTAATAATTAATGCTACTTTAACTTCCCAACTCTTATTTTCAATTGCCACCTAGATTCAGCAATCTGAGAGCTGACTATCATCCCTCCATTAGGGTGACCCTCTTAGGAAGAGGAAAACTGGAAGAAACACTTCTCAATGTTCGGCATGACAGAGATGGATTCCTTCCTGTTGCTGAGGCCCCACACATGAGTGACAGATGGAAGACAAAACATCACAGAGTCCTAGGGGAAAGGTGCTTAGGAAGGTGTTTAATACAGCAGGGAGCTGAGATACATTAGGAGACACAGTAAAGAACATAGAGTGCGTAGATACAGTAAAGAATTTCATTTTATGATTTGTCATCTGTTATTGGAGAGAAGGATAAATTAGGTAAATAAATGATTTTCAGTTCTCTATACATGCAAAGGTAAATCAGTTATTACAAAAGTTTGTTTTATGTGCTGAAAGAAAAACATATGCATTTAAACATTTTTTTAAAAAATAAATTGCTCAATAGGCTTAAGAAAAATACTCTAGCTCATATTTCATTGATCTGATCCTTTGATTCAAGATCAGGGAGTGAATCTAGAATGAAAACCAAAAGAAAATGAAAAGGAGAAATCAACTATTTACCATGGAAAAGGCATTTCCAGTCTTAGCTAACTTTGACCAGTTTTTATTGCATTAGTTTTGAAATGCCAATAAATTGGCTTTGGCCACAACACTTGCTGTCCAGCTCATCATAGCTGTCAATATGCAATTGCTTGCAACAATTAGCTAAACACGGTTATCTGACAAGTTCCCCTCAAAGAGACACGGATGCTATCGGGTGTCTAACACACGAAGTTCCGCAGCATCAGTCAGGCTGGTTGGACAAGGAGAAAAGTTCATCATCCGTCACCCACGGAAGGGGTTCTACCCAACTTTAAGTTTTTGTTTGTTTGTTTTAAAGGAAGTATTTGTCCTGATCCCACATGTTTCTCCCTGTGTGAGGAAAAGCATTTTGGGGCTGGCTAAGGAAGAGTGGATAAAGCCAGAAATTCTGGATCCCTTCTTGACATCAGCAGAAAGAGGGAAACATGGAGATGCAAATGTGAAATGGTGATGCTGTACCGCATGAAGAAAAAACCCACCCAGAGCTGCCAGCAATTTCCACCAAATCAAATAAATGCTTTACCTGACAGAAATCCAGTACAACATACACATTAATAATTCCACCATTACTTGCACTGCTATTTAAAGAAAAAAATGCAATATTCAAAAAGCAAAATTCTCATAAGATTTGAGAAAAACAGAGTGAAAAAGGCAATGTCAGCTAAGCTCTTAGCTACATCCACTCTTAATGGCCCCCAGTATTTAAACTATCATGGAGTAAAGCCATGAAAATAAAAATTTCAATTTGAAATTTTATTAGCATGTTGATAAAATGGTCAATAAAAACATCAACACGATAGGCTTTGTTGACATAGCTGGAAATCTCTGCTCTCAAGTTAGAAACTTAATTTCCACGGCCAGGTGTGCTAGGGTTTCTATGTTAGGACAAGCCAAACTAAACAGACTGGCCGTGGTGCTGCAGCCCCCTCGGCTGGTGTCTGGAATGTCGCTGCTGTCCCCTCCCTCTCTTCTAGCCCAGCTAAAAATATGACTATTTTTGAAATGCAGCTAGAGGAAGGAGCAATCAAGGAGGGTTCGGAGCAACCAGCGCCCTGCTTCTTGTCCCGCTCCCAGACACCGGGGGGCAGCAGGCGCTTTCCCGGAGTAGTTGCCCTTCTTCACGCCAGGCAGCTGCGCGTTCTCTGCGCGAGACTGGGACCTCTGCCTCCGGGAGACACACTGGCGACAGGGTGGGAGTGGAGGGGGCGGGGGACGTACGCTTCCTAGGTGCAAACAGCAGGAAGCAAAATCTATCCAGCTTAGCCCAGAACCTGGAGTACAGCGTCGGAAGACCTGGGGCTGGAAGCGCTGAGCCTGTCCTTGGGTCCCAGGTAGCCTCAGGGCCCTTGCGCGCGGCCCGGTGGAGCTATTCACTTGGGCACCAGGGACAGGAGACTGGGGTTCTCACAGATCCTGCGACCTGGGGACACTTCCACACCGGTGTGGAAGCGGGCCCCGCAGAGAGAATGCTCGCCAGCCCCAGCCCCGTCCTGTGTGCGCACATCTAGGGCGCACGCAACTGCTCCGAGATAGCAAAGGGGGAGTTTCCCTGGGGGGTGAAGGTCGCTGACCACTGGCTTGGTGGTGATGGTGGTGGTGGCCTGGGCTCTCCTCTCCCTCCCCCTTCTTCTCTTACAAAACCAGTTGGCACCAGCCCAGGTCCCTCTCTCCCGTGCTCCAGCCTGGTTCTCCTGTCCCTCGATTCCGGGACTAAGCTGCAGCCTGGGGTGGACACTCGCGGCCCAGGGCGAGCAAGGCAGGCAGGGCCAGAGTAGGGCGGGGCCAGCGGCGCCGGGTGGGCGGCCCCGGCGCTACTCCTTGTCGCGCACGAAGTCGGCGAACTCTTGCAGCACCCGCAGACGGCCGCTGGCGTCTATGCGGCGCTTCTCTCGGATGAGGTCTTCCAGGCTGTGGAAGCGGGCAGTGTGCACCTTATCGTTCCCCAGGTGCACCTTGAGATAGTACTGCTGCTGCGGAGGCTGCGTGCCTGCCGGCAGTTCTCCCCCGGCCTTGAACTCGCGTTTGCCGAAGCGGCACCAGGCGGCGAAGCTCTCCGAGTTCGTCCAGCAAATCTCCTCGCGCTTGAGGCCCAGGTGGCCGCACGCGTTCTGCACCACCAGCTCAGCCACCAGCGGGCGGTAGCGGTACCAGCTATTCACCACGCGGCCCACGTTGGCCGCGCCCGCCTCGTGCAAGCTGTCCTGGCGGATCTCGCCCTGGTGCAGGTGGATGATGTGGCCGCCGCCCACGTAAACCGCCCAGTGAGGGGCGGGCGCCGCGGGCTCGGGCGCGGGCTGCAGCCACAGCAGCTCCAGGAGGTCGCCCGGCTCGCAGAGCTCGGGCAGCGCCGACACTGAGTAGACGCTTAGGTCGGCGCCCTGTGGGCCGCCGCTTACTTTGGAGAAGATGCATTCCTGGCCCCGGAAGGCGGAGAACTGAGTCTCGTTGAGCACCAGCTGGTGCAGCAAGTGGTGGTGGTGGTGATGGTGGTGGTGGTCTGGGCTCTCCGGGCAGGGGCTGCAGCCGGAGGTGGCCTTCACACCGAACTTGTCGGGCTGCCCGCGTTCGTCCAGGTCCTCCTCCTCATCCGAGAAGAAGTAGGCGACCCCGACCCGCAGCTCGTCCTTCTCGATCCCCGACGGGTCGCCTGTGGGCAGCTCGCTGTAGTTGAGGTGGGTGATGCGGTCCAGTTGGTTGCCCATCAATGACGCGACGAGGCGAGGGCTAGGAACGGGGATCTGGAGAGGGAGAAGTGCACCCGTTAGAGTCGGGGTGACACTCTTAGGTTGACCCTCCCCAAGATGCACAGGGTCTGTGGGACAGCCCGCCCACCTATCCCCTGGTGTCACTGGTGCCAGCCAGGATAGGGAAAGAGGCTCAGACGCGGCAACCGATCGGGCGCCGAACAGGACGCCCCACAGAGCCTCCCACCCCGACCCAGAACCCTGTGCAACTCCCAGCAGAGGACACTCGGGCAGGGAAGCGAGAGCGGGGTCCCCGTAAGTAGCTGCACTATGCAAGGGTGGGCTAACAGGGACAAGGGACACCTAAGGCCCGAGAGCCTAGCAAACTGCGCTAACATTCCTGTCCCGACCCTCTGCTGCCCACCGCCCAGCTTGGCACACAGGTCGCATCCCCCCCGCGGACAGCGGCTCGCACAATGACAATCGGACACATCGGCGGCAACATTTCTGCACATCTGGGGTACAAATACGAACAAGCTGGCGCAGACACCCACGATGATAATGTCACAGACACCCACAATGACAAACCTTCGCGAGGACGCACTGCCACACTTCACCACCCCTACATACACATTTATGCACAATCCCACACCCACGCTTGCACACTCGCCGATGCACGTACACGCGAGCTCCGGGTACACCTGCCCACGCAGACAGGTGCACTCTGCCCCTCACTTTGCCAACCCTGTCCCCGGCAGAGCCAATTGGACTGCGCAGGGCGCTGCCGGGTCTAAAATAACCGAACAAAGAGACTTGGGCGGCGAGGAAGCGAGGCCGGGAACCACGCGGGGGGCTGCCGAGAGCTCTGCTTCCAGTCTTGAGCCCCCGCCCTCCTCTTTGACACGCGATCCGCGACTGGGAGCAGGAAAATCGTCAGCGAGGCCGAGAAAGCCGATCCTCCGTACCGGTGACTTCCCCTCTCCCGAACCCCAAACTCCTTTAAAGTCTCCAGGTCCCCATGGGCGATGCAGAGGCGGCGGTACACGCGGTCCCAGGGAGCGAGGGGCTGCAGGGGGTTCTGCCCGCAGTTCGTTGCCTAGGAAGCCATCTCCGGCCGGGCGGCGCTCCACCTGGCCGGAGCGCCCAGGGCTCTGCTCGGCTCCTCTGGCAGCCCGGTGCGGCGACTCTAAGTAGCCGGAGCAGCCGGCTCGAGGACCCGCCCTGTCGCGTGCTCATTGGTTGGGATCGGGGCCGGCACCCTGTCAATCTCCACTGCCGGGGAGGAACTAGGGGCGTGGTTTCGGGCACCCCGCCCCGCCCGCCCCCGGGATCCGAAGCGCGCGCCCCCAGCGGAGGTGTGGACAATGAGAGGGAGCGCGAGGGGGCGCTGCGTGGGGGCAACTTGCAGGAGAGGCCCTACTTGCGCTCTGAGTTTGGGGTGGGGAAACCTCTGACGCCGCATCCTGGGTATGGGGACCCAGGAGCGGCCGCTTTGGCCGGTGCTGTCTCATTGAGCCTCGTCCAGCCTGGCCCAGATGCCCTGAACCGTACGGAGAACCCACAGTCTCTCTCCAGCCCGGTGGCGCTGCTGATCCCACCAACGCCCGGTGAGGAGGAGGATGATGTGGGGAGCCATGCTACCCCGAAGTCCCAGCTGTGGCCGGGCCATCCTCAGCTGGGCCATCCCCATCTGGGCCTGTGATTTTTTTTCCTTTAATTTTTTATGAAACTGGTGCATCGTTTACCGAGAAAATAGGAAATAAAAATGCGTTGGTCACCCCAGAAGTGCTATTACTATGGGATTTGGGCTTGGTTTTGTGAGAGAAGGGTGACTGCGTTCTGAATGCAAACGATAGATGTGTGCTGGATGCTGGATGCTAAAGACCTCTGTAAAGTGAGCTTCTAGAGCTCAGACTCCAGAAGAGAGCTTAAGAGTCTGGCCAGGTCTCAACGCTGCCATTGTGGAGGGAGGGAAGGCTCCGGTAGGGTTTTTGGGAAACCTCTTTCTCTCCTGTGGGAGTCTAGTGCTTTCTCTGGGTGCCCCTGAGACAGCCGGAGAGCTTCCTGCGTTCAGTAGAGATTCTAGTGGGCTTCTCAGCTTGCATTGAGCATCCCTCTCCCTGCACTGTGAAACAAGGGAGACTGTGTGAAGAGCGTTGGTGTGGGGTAAGTGATTACTGTCTGTTCTGTGCATGTACACATCTGCCTTAATGGAACTCTTTGAGCAGTACAACCAACATAAGCTCATAAAAATGGGGCGGGGGTTATAGCAAAAGGAAAAAGAAAGACTAAGAAAATGTTGTCGGTACCTGAACTGGACCCTAGGACTTGAAAAGATGATGAAAAAAAATGAAGTCCATCATTTACTAACAAAATAAAAAACGTAAAAAAATAAAATAAAATAAAAACAATGAGGAAAAAACGTAGCTCGAGTCATCCAAATGTTCTGAAAGGAAGAGCAAGCCATGTTAGTTTAAAATAGTTTGGGTGGTGGTGATGTGTCTTAGCTACTTTGCTGTTGCTAAGACAAAATATCAGACATAAGTTAAAGGAGGAAAGATTTATTTAGCTCATGGTTTGTAGTCTGCTGGCTTCAAGGTGGAGTAGCATGTTGGAGGAGAAACAGCCCGTGGCAGGGGAGGCAGGAAGCGACACAACATCCTGTTACTCTCTCTTTTCATTCTGTCCAGGCTACAAGCCCATTCTCTGTGCCACCCACATGCAGCGTTCCCTCTTCAGTAAGTCCCTCATCCAACACTCAGAGCTATGCTGAGCCAATCAGTGGCCTGTATCATGCACACCGATGAGCAGGTTACTCAGGAGAGCCCTAACTAGGAGCAAAGGAGCCTTTGGAGGGCCACCTAGAAACGAGCCACAAAATGATGCTTTGAGCTGAGGTGTGGAAGTTTTATGTGATGTTACCATTTCTGTTAAAAAAAAATACTATGCATACTTCATAGCGGCTAGAAATTGGATTTGACAGTTATCTCTGGATTGATTTTCAAAGAATATTTTTGTTCTGTTTGTTTTTCCAACTTTTGCTTTTATGACTTGCACATAAAAATAAAATTAATTACAGTTAAATAAACATTGTGAAATAACAAAGGAAAACAGCCTATAGTGATTTAGTGGGTGAGGGATCCTCCTTCCTCCTGAGGGTATTTGCTGATATCGAAATGGTAACGGGGGAGCCCTAGCACCAGCATCCACAACCTATCAGAAGTCTGTAACGGGGCTATCATAGTTTCTAATTAATAAATTCTGGCTTTATGATGTGAGAAAATTTACATAGAAAATAATACATTTTATGAGCCATTATTTTCTTTGGTTGGCTATTTGGCCGGAGTATTTTCAAACTGCCAAGATTCCAATTTGAGTGTGCCTTCTGAAGTTTCCATGGACACCCCCCCTTCCCTACAGCTCTCATATGCAGCAATTTATCAGAAGAGATGCTCAGGAAGTACTGCCATAAGTGGGTTTCTAAACGGGCATCTGGATACCTTTGATTTACTTATGTCTTTCGAGAAATCTGGCTGTTGTCCACAAGCAAGTTGCAGTCCTTGAGACTGGCCGCAGGTTGTGATGGTCCTTTTGTACTTTAGATTTGCCATAAATAATAAACAACTTCTTTTGGCGCTGCAGTCAAGAGAATTGAGCAAGTAGCTTCTGAGATCAAGAAGTGAGTTATTGGTCTTATTATAAACTGGACACTGGGGATGTCTGGGAGGAGACGTATGAAGGGCTTGAGCCCACAGAAAGCAGTCTAGCCCTTGACCCCGGGTAACCTCTTTTTTAACCACTCCCCCATCCCTGAAATCAAGTCTTTCACAAACATCCATACCTGATTGCTGTCTTCATCCCTCCCTGCTGTATTCTGGAATACAGAACAAGCAGACCACTCTCCTTTCCTTTGGGCCCCAACAGTCTCAAGGATGAGCAACATGAACCACTCTCAGTGCTTGGAGAGACAGTACCAGATACTAGTTTACAGGTTTCCCCATCGTCCCTCCTTCCCCTCTCTTCTGTCGGATACAAGGCTGAATGCTTTATTAGTCATGAAGGAGAATACATACCCTGTGACCCCATCCCTGGAAATGCAAGACAAGGAGCACACTGACCCTCAGGCTGGGAAAAGAAAGCTCTAAAGGTAAACTGAGGAAAATGGATCTTTACATCCCTAGGTCAATTGCAAACACAATCAAGTATAAATAAGAGAATGCAGTATCAGAAGGTGTTCATTTAACCACACATGATTATTTGTAAATTATTTTGTTTATTGCTTTTCACCCATGTTGCTTAGTTGCTGTGGAGATAGTGACACTGGGAACAGGATGGAGTCTTTGGAAGCTGACTCCATCAGTGCTCATGAGTGGGGTGCCCAAGGTGAGTGCACCCCACCTGTTATGTGTCAGATTCCTTACCTGCAAAATACAGGTAACAGTCGTGTTTTGTACTGTGGATTATTTCCAGTATATGTGTACCAGCCTGGTGCCTAGCTTGTAATGAGCTTCCAGAAAATGTTAATTGTATTATTACTATTACTCTATTATTGTTGTATCCATGGTGTTAGATGAGCATCTTTTTTCTTTCTTGGTCCTTTCTTTGACACTAGCTGAAAGGGTTCTCCTCACACTTGGCTGACCATATCTTTAGCTCAACCCCTCATCCTTTACAACTGAGTGGGAAGGGGAGGTTTCCAAAGGAACGTGTGTGTTCTGTCAGAACTGCTGTCTATCACTGTTTGCTCAAAAACTGCTTTGCTTTTATTTCTATGCCCTACACTGGTGATGATCTTCAGTAAAACCAACCGTGGGTCCTGTTTCTTGCCCTTGGCTGTCTTGGGCACATAGCCAGCTCTTGGGCCTGCACAGAAGTACTTTTATAACTATCTGGGGCCACTCCTTGGCTCGGGCACACAGCTCAACATCCTGTCCCCAAACCTACAGCTGGGCAAGCACCTTCTCACCACTTCTGGCCAAGAAAAAGTAAGTGGTAGTAGGTCCTGAACCTGTCACCATGGTCTCTCATCAATTCTCTTGCCATTTGCCCATGAGTAGAGGGATTCAGGATAGCACTTCTGGAATCAAAGAGATGGAGTAGCTGCTAGATGAAGGGGGCAGGGCTCCTGAGTGATTCTGAGCAGATCGTGCCCTTGCCTGGATAAAGACCATGCAAGGGGAGAAGTGGGAGAAGTAAAACTTACAGAAAAACTATGTGGCTATGTCTGAACATCAGCTAGCTCACTGATACACTCTCTTCGGTTTCAGGTGTATCTTAAAGTAGCAAGTACCTCTCTCAAGTCAGCTCCCCTGGCAGCCCTGTGATAGCTCAGTCTGTTCAAATCATCCAAAGTCCTCCCCCATTGCTCCTCCTTCCCTCTCCTCCCCTCCTGCTCCTCTTGCTCCTCCTTGTCTTCCTTGTCTTCTCCTCCATCCTCCTTCCTCCTTTTTCTCTTCTCCTTTGCCTCCTCTTCCTTCATCTTCTTTGTCCTCCTCCTCTTTCTCTTCTTTTCCTGCTCTTCCCACTCCCCCTTTCCACTTCCTCCTCCTCTTCTACCTACTACGCTCCCTTTTTCCTGTTTTGAGATCATTCCTAGGGTTTCATATGTGTATGTGACCGGTGCTGAGAAAAGACAAGACGGGGACTCCTTCTTCGTCTTTAGACTTCTTTATTTTCTGGCCTTCCTCCTCCTCCTCTCCTAACCCCCCTTCTTATATCCCCCCCCGGACCTATCAGAGGGAGCCAAGTATATCGTCTGACACAGGCAATAGGCCAACAGCCAGTTGCCTCGCAGGGCTGTGCGAACCAATCAAATCTTGCCAGCAGGGACCAGGGCTATACAGGAAACAAGACTC